GTAGGCATTGGGGCAGGGCCCAAGCGAGCACAACTTTTATTTTCCCTACATTATTTTCTCCTTTCTTATGCATGCATTCCCAGTACAGCTTAGATATAGATTCTTACACACCCATTAGATTATAATAACAAGAGTGGATACCGTAGAGTACTACGGGCTTGTGGGGTGCTAATACCTTTCCCTCGTGTAACAGACTCCTTTACCTGATCTCTCGGTCGCAAGAACGCGATTTCACGCTCTTCAGGTTTTCTCGATGTTTACCTTTCCCTTTCGGTGGGATAAAAGATGTTCGGTGGCGTCTTCATTGATATTTACTATCGGATGAAGGTTCGGCCGATTGTCTCAATAGGCTCATGCCAGTTTTTAGCAACACCGGCAGCATAACCTTTCAAGTTCACCACTGAATTGAGGAATTTAAAGTTATGCTTCCTTTGTGAAAGTTCAGAATGGGAGGCTCCAGACACAGTAAAGCTTGATCAGATATGCCAGAAGGCATAATGTGAAAACTTGTAGACATGTGCATTTGAAACCAATCCACATTGGCCAACAACACACTATCAATCCTAAAATATATGACTCCATCAACATAATTGTTAGACCAGGTAAAGTTGTCACCTATGTTGTCCATCTCAATCAGCCCTCTTTTCTACATCATGTCAACCAGATCCATATATTCCTTCTCAATCACCATATTATCACTAATTATGTCACTCGTCTTCACTACATTATTAAAGTCCACAATCAAGCACCAAGGACCTTGTTGGTTGTTATGAATCTGTGTGATTTCTCTCCATAAATTCTTCCTTTGTTCCAACTTGTTCATAGCATATATTACAGTAAACCAGTGCAAAAATTACCATTTAAGTCATAAACCCCACCATGAATCATTTGCATAGCACTTTTAACATGTCTAAAATCCACCATGTTGTTATCCCAAAGAAGCCACAGCCTACCATTATTATGCGCATGGTAGTTATCTATGTATATACCTTTGATATACAACTTCTCACTCACCTTCTGAGCTTTGTCCTTCATGACTCTTGTCTGAATAATCACATCAATCCTAGGGTTAAGACTATAAAGGCTGGAGCTCACCTCCTTAGTATTCACCATTTTATTTATCCCCCTCACATTCAACGGCACAATCATGGCATAATGTCAAGACTAACTAGAGGATCATTCAAAATCTCTAACAACCCAAAACCATTCTGAGATTGGAGAGGATTTGATGTTGAATCTTCCCAACTTATTCCTTTTCCTCTTTCTCTTTTATTAGTTGTTATGTGAGTCCATTCTTCCTACTTCTTTCCCTTGTCATCTTCAACATTCTCAGTCGGATTTTCAACCTCTGTGGCACTTTGCTGCAGTATTATCTTTGCTTTCCATTCTTTAGGGGGCTTCTTTTTCTTTGTGTAATCATGTCCAAATTATTGGCACTTCCCATAATACACGGTCTTTCACTCATAATCTACAACTTGCTATGTTGTTCCCTTCAATATCTTCGATAATTATCTCCTTGACTAACTCCTGGGTAATATCAACCTCTATAAGAATATAAGCACACTCCCAATCTTCCCTAGACTGCTTGCTCCCCATAGATAGAGTGGAAGCTGAGGGAATTTCACCCAAATGGGGACATTGCGTAACATGTCGCATTTTAAGTTGAAGTTAGGTTTCCACTCCCCCAGCAACATCGACATGTTGTGGATGGTGTAAGGAGCTTCCACAACATGTTCATCTCTATCTCTGAACATTTTGAATTTGGGGATGAAGTGTCCTTCATCATTGTAGAACATGTTCGGTAACATCACAAAAATTTCACTTTCGATATAACATCTAATTCTTGAATTCTCGCAACTATTTCACCATTGATTATCTTCGGAGCTACAACGTGTATGGCCATACCTTTTGCTGGGTTCCGATTCTCATTGATAACATTCACTTAAAACTTTTTCCTCTACTCATAAGACTTTTCTTCTTTCGCTATGGTTTCTAGCCCCTTCTGTTACCATTCACTCAGTAATTTGTCATCAACAAATTCTTCATCCTCAATTATTCCTTCCTTAAAATTCCAATGAGAAATAGTAACAGAAATAGGTGTCAATGGCGGCCAAGGCACCTTCCGACGTGGCCGCCCTCTCCCCTTAGACTCCATTCGATTAACTTTATTCTTTATTGAATCTTCTCGGTGTTTCTAATTGTTATATATATATATATATATATATATATATATATATATATATATATATATATATATATATATATATATATATATATATATATATATATATATATATATATATATATATATATATATATATATATATATATATATATATATATATATATATATATATATATATATCTTTATATAAATAACTAATAGATTAAACTTCAATTATTATTTTAAAATAAAATAGTATAATTATAAATGTAAAAAAAAATTCTAAAGGCTATTAAAAAAATAACATGTTTATAGAAAAAATATTGTATAAGTAATATTAAACATACATTTTAAAAAATGAATACATTTATTAATTATCAATTTATAAATTATAAGTCAATGTCCATAAATGATAATAGTGGAATGACATTAAAAAAAAAATTCCACACCTTTCATTTATAAATAGATTAAATTAAATATGTAAAAATCAATAAATGTGAAAATATATATTATTTTTCCATTCAGAGTTCGATTGCATAAATAATTGTCTTAATGGTAAATAATCTATAAATAAGCTTTTTTACTCACTTATAAATTAGTTATTTTTTCTTTTAAATTTATATTAAATTTTTACATTTTTATTTTGAAAATGTTTTTTCTTTGATTATAAAATGATGAATTGAAAATGACCAAAATGATAAATAATTGAGTAATCAAATAAAGAATTGTGTTCAGTTGTATAACTCAAGTAAAATACAACTATAAAAAATGAGTAATCAAATACATAAGAAAAACACGAAAAACTAAGAACACCATAAATACTCCAAGGCTAAAGAAACAACGAATACACTAATGAGTTAAGAAAGTAAAACGTAAATTATTAGAGACCGCATACGGTAACGAAGGTAATCAACTGCATAACAAATTATTATAAATAGAATAAGATTGAAAAGACATACTCGTGAATTTCGACATTACTAAATATAGGTGAGGATCCATTATTTAATTTTTTAAAATACTACTACATTTACCAAAAAAAAAATATGATTTGTTCAAATTGCACATGAATTTTTATTGTCCTCCTTTTTTATTTTATCCATTTTTTATCTTGAAATTGTAATAATGATTCAATTATAATTACTAGACCAAAAGTAGATTCAAAGAAAAAATTAATAGCAACACTTTTGGCATTAAGTAATACACTATTTTGTTCAAACAATATTAAGATGGTAAAATATAATTGAACTTTTAACCTTTTTTTTATACAGTGTTTATATCTATAACTATATTATATTTTATATATCATATGTTTATTTTTATTTAAGATATCTCACATTTTTAGAGAGAAAATACATATACATATATATTAGACAACATATTTTATTTTATTTTTTATTATGATATTTAGTAGGATTCACTTTCTGTTTATATATTTTTTTTAAATTGAGAAATAGATTAAGTATTGTCCAATTATCATTTTTGTTAACTATTTAATATATTGGATTTTATGTCATCTACATAACAATTCATCATAAATAGAATAAGTTTGAAAAGATATTACTCGTGAATTCTGACCTTACTAAATATAAGTGAGGATCCATTATTTAATTTTTTAAGATACTACTACATTTACAAAAAAAAAAATTATGATTTTGTTGAAATTGCACATATGAATTTTTATTGTCCTCCTTTTTTTTATTTTATCCATTTTTTATCTTGAAATTGTAATAATGATTCAATTATAATTACTAGACCAAAAGTAGATTCAAATAAAAAGTTAATAGCAACACTTTTGGCATTAAGTAATACACTATTTTATTCAAACAATATTAAGATTACACTATTTTATTCAAACAATATTAAGATGGTAAAATATAATTGGACTTTTAATTTTTTTTATACAGTGTTTATATCTATAACTATATTATATTTTATACATTATATGTTTATTTTCATTTAAGATATTTCATATTTTTAGAAAATATATATATATATATATATATATATATATATATATATATATATATATATATATATATATATATATATATATATATATATATTTTATTTTATTTTTTATTATGATATTTGGTGGGATTCACTTCTTATTTATACTTTTAAAATTTTTTTGAGGAATAGATTAGGCATTGTCTAATTATCATTTCTGTTAACTACTTGATGTATTGGATTTTATGTCTTTATTAGTTTTGTTTTTCCTTTTTTATTTAATGATTTTCTTTTATTAAAAAATCATTGACCAACTTTAGTAATGTGTGTGAAGACACTTTTATTATTCTCAAATGAGTTTAAATATGGATTTAAAGAATTTTCTATACTATAAATAATAGTTATAATTATATATGAAAATATCCATCTTTTAGCCAATTAATCTCTTCTGAATTTTCTTGAGTTTTGTTTAGAGTATTATTTTTCATAAGAATGGTGAATAATATTTGGGCTTTGCATAGAGAAATAACTCAAAACAATAACAATGAAAGTAGTCGTTCTACTGAGTGTGAGAATCAAATCTCAAGTAATCATCAATTACCAAATATTCACTTTAAAACACCACAAAATCCATTCACAAATCTCAAAAATTACAGTCAAGGTATCAACGTTATTCTTAATATTCTTTTTAATATACATGTCTTAAAAATATTTTGGCATTTAAAAATATGTCTTAAAAATAATTTTTTTTATTTTTTATGGTTTTAAATTACATATAATGAGGTTTCACATTTTTCTTCTATTGCAATAAAAAGTATTAATGAAAAATTTAACTTTAATGTTTTTTAACTATGTTATTATTATGGACTTAAATTAATATTTATTTCACATGTCAAATGCAGGGAGGTACATTGAAAAAAATAATGGTCGAACATTGCCTTTGAGTTCATGCAACACTTCTCTCGCTCATTTTTATCCTTCAAACGCACCTCAAGATTCTAAAGGTTATGCAATTGGATATCAAAATTCTTTAAGACATACTCTTCATAATCAAAAGAATTTACGATATTCTCCATATGGTGAAACCTCAAATCACAATAATAACTCTTTATTATTCAATTATTTCAATTCTTGTTCAAGGATTGGTTTGAAGGATTTTGCTATAGCAAATGCAAATCCTCCTCCAATTCGTCCTATTGAAACTAAGGATTTGAATTTGTTTTACTCTTCATCAATGGAACCTCGTATGTTTGATATTCGAGAAACTCACGCTTGGAAAAAGTCAATGACTCAAAATAAAGAGCTTCTTCTTTTCAAGGATGACAAGAATATAATTCCAGAAATAAAAAAAGATGATGCAAATGAAAATGATGATGACCATTTAGATCTCTCACTTCATCTTTAGATCATGAGTGAATATCTTTTGTCGATTTAGTTTAATAAATTATCAAAAGAAAATTTATAATAAAATTTAGATATGTTAAAGCTTTTATGAGAGAGGTCTTGTTTATTGTATGAGTTGTTTAATCTACAATAATATTCATAATTGGTTTATGCTTGTATGTTAATTGCTATTGACTTCTTTTTTTTATATAACAAGTCATTTTCTTTGACTCAATTTAAAAAATAAAATAATATTATAAAATAGAGAAATATTTATTAATTAAAAAGGTATTATTGATTATTTTACAATAGTTTTCGAATATATTTTAAATTTACTATTTTAAAATTATAACCACTAAACTAACCTCTTCAATGAACTTTAATAAAATAAAAATTGATCAATCTCAAAATAAAAATAAAATAAATTATTCAAGTAAATATAATACATTAACATATAGTCATTATATATATATATATATATATATATATATATATATATATATATATATATATATATATATATATATATATATATATATATATATATATATATATATATATATATATATATATAATTAATAGGTTAAACTTTAATTATTGCTTGAAAATAAAATAGTATAATTATACATGTTAAAAAAATTACTATAGTCTATTCCACAAAATAACATGTTCATAGAAAAAAATTGTATGAGTAATATTAAACATACATTCTAAAAAATCCATACACTTATTAATTATTAATTTAAAATTATAAGTCCAAGTCCATAAATGTTAATAGTAGAATGACATTAGAAATTTTTTCCACCCTTTCATTTATAAATAGATTGAATTGAATATGTGAATAACAAAAAATGTGAAAATATATGTATTATTTTTGCCATATTCAAAGCTCAATTGTAGAAATATTTTAATGGTAAATAATCTATAAATTAGTTTTTTAAACTCACCTATAAATTAGTAATTTTTGCTTTTAAGTTTATATTAAATTTTTACTTTTTTTATTTTGAAATTATTTTTTCTTTGATTATAAAGTGATGAATTAAAAATGACCAAAATAGTAAAGAATTGAAACTACTTTTCAATCTTTCTTTATTAACTATACTTTTCAATCTATCAAACACGCAAGAAAAACAAAGAATACCAGAAGTACTCCAAAGTTAAGGAAACAATGAATACATAGTAAAAAGAACAAAGTAACAGAGAATCAAGACAGAGACCAACAACACCTAGAACCAAGCAAGAAACCTCCCTAGAGAGTCAGCTGAGGGGGAGCAAGAAAAGCTACCAACAGCTGAAAGGAGAGCAGTTAGTTACTCAACATACCCATATTCACCTAAGTATTTGAGTGGGTCCTCCTCGCAATTCAACATTGAGAAATCAGTGTTGGTGCAAGCGTTTGAACTCACTTTTAAGACAAGAAATTAAACAAACTCATCCAGTGATTCACAGACAATCTTTTCTGATAGAAAAAATTATTTTGCATTGTCCACATAATACATATCACTGAATTTCAAATCAAGACCAGCCCAAACAACACTTTTACATGTCCCAAAACCCTAAAACAAATCAAACGCTTGTATAATCTATACTAGGAGAGTCTAGAGTATACATACCTTCCTAAACACCTTATATCAGATCTTCGATGTGGCTTCACTTATATAACACAAACAAGTAATTTTTTAACTCCATTTTCCATGAACATACAATACAACTTATCTTGATATTAAAGGGAAAAATAAGTCATTTGAGAAGGTCCTTCCTAGTCAACATCCTACCATGAAGACACTACCAAGAAAACACATCCACTTTAGAGGGTGTCCATCCCTCCCAAACCTTATCCAACCTCTGGATTACCCACTCCTGAACTACTCTCACTGCCAAAAAACAAACTAGAAAGATGAAATAAATAGACTTCACAGAGAACCCGCTAATAGGATCTAGTTCCAAACCCAAGCACCCATCTAGCCCTAATTAACCATTCATTATATTGTCCATATCAACTCCAAAAAAAAAATCTTCACCCCAAACAAGGAGGGAATGCCTCCACCTAAACTTTCAAACTTAAACAACCTCCACCCAACTTCTCATCCCTCCCATCACCTGGGACTTTTTCTCAAAATTAGGAATTACTGCTCGTAGAGAACACTAAGAGAAGTGGGTATAACCCACATAGCATTCCAAAACCTAGCATGCATCTCTTTCCCTACCACCTTACTAAAAGAAGATGTAAACAGAGAATAAGAAGAAAATCTTTCCATCAGTGTTAGGCCCTTCTTGGTTGTTACATCGTATCCTTAATGTGTTGCAAATGTTGTTCTGGTACCAAAGAAAGACGGAAAGGTACGTATGTGTGTAGACTATAGAGTTCTGAATAGGGCGAGCCCCAAAGATGACTTCCCGCTTCCATATATTGATGTTCTGGTTGAAAATACCGCTCAACACAATATATTCTACCTCATGAACGGTTTCTCGGGTTATAATCAGATCAAGATGGAACTTGAAAACATGGAGAAAACTACCTTTGTTACACAATGGGGAAATTTCTGCTACAAAGTTATGCTTTTGGGGTTAAAGAACATCGACACAACATATCAGCATGCCATGGTAGCTTTATTCCATGACATGATCCATCACGAGATAGATGTCTACATCGACGATATGATAGCCAAATCTCATACTGAAGAAGAGAATCTTGACCATCTACACAAGTTATTTGAGAGACAGAAGAAGTACAAGATGGGGTTGAATCCGAAAAAGTGCACCATTGGGGTGAGATCGGGTAAGCTCCTGGATTTTGTTGTCAGTGGTAAAGGCATTGAGGTTGATCCCGCCAAATTCAAAGCTATTCAATAAATTCTTCCTCCCCATACCGAGAAGGAAGTCAGAGGTTTCTTAGGACGACTGAATTACATTGCTCGATTCATTTCTCATTTGACTGCTACTTGTGAGCCAATCTTCAAGCTGCTGAAGATAGATTAGGTAGTAAAGTGGAACGACGACTGTCAGACAGCCTTTGACAAGATCAAGGAGTACCTACAAGAACCTCCAATTCTAATGCCACCAGTTGAAGGAAGACCTTTAATTATGTACCTGACAGTGTTAGAGAACTCAATGGGGTGTGTACTAGGCCAACATGACGAGTCTGGTTGAAAAGAGCATGCAATATACTACCTTAGCAAAAAATTTACCGACTATGAAACAAGATACTCGCTGCTCGATAAAACTTGATACGCTTTGGCATGGGATGCTCGTCGACTAAGACCTTATATGTTGACCCATACCACTTTGTTGATCTCAAAAATGGATCCCATCAAATACATATTCGAGAAGCCAGCTCTCTCCGGGAGAATACCCCAATGGCAAATGGTCTTAACAGAATACGACATTCAGTACACCACTCAGAAGACAATCAAAGGAAGTGTATTGGCAGACCATTTGGCTCATCAAGCTGTAGAAGACTACCAGTCTATGAATTTCAAGTTCCCGGACGAGAATATTATGATAGTAATGGATTGTGAAAAACCTGGACCGTATGAAGGACCAGAGACAGGATCCCTATGAACTATGGTTTTCGATGGAGCTTCTAACGCACTTGGAAACGGAATTGGTGCTGTAATTATATCTCCATAGGGTTTCCATACACCCTTTACTGTCATAATTTTCTTTGACTGTACCAACAACATGGCCGAATACAAAGCGTGCATCATGGGCATCAGAGCTGCTATTGACTTGAGGATTAAGTTCTTAAATGTATATGGGGACTCAGCCCTAGTAATCAGTCAAATCAAGAGAGAATGGGATACTAAGCACCCGAACCTCATTCCTTATAGAGGACATGTGCTTACCTTAATCCCATAACTCGAGGAAATCACTTTTGAACACATCCCACGAGAAAAGAATCAATTGGCATATGCATTAGCAACCATGTCAACTATGATTAAAGTAAGATGGGACAACGAGGCTCCCAGAATTACCATTGGGAGGCTGGACGAACCGGCACATTGCTATGAAGTTGACACTGACGGAGTAGAAGATAAGACTTGGTTTCATGAAGTGAAAAGATACCTTGAGGCTCAAGAGTACCCTAAGGGGACATCTATCAACGACAGGAAATTCCTACGGAGGTTCTCAGCCAACTTCTTCCTGAGTAATAGGGTTTTGTATAAACGCATTTGTAATATGGTTGGAGAAATGACTTTTAGTTTTTCGTTTTATGGAAAATGTTGCGGATAGCAAGAGTCTCCACTGACTTTTCTTTTATCCAATAAAGGAAAGGATGAAAAGAACAGGAAAGACCTTTGAGAAATTTTTGAGTAAGAGGGGTAGGTTATGAAAAGGGCAGGTGTTAGCACCCTTTTCATCCATAGTTATCTACGGGATCTTAATCGCTAGCTCACTTTTGAAGATACTTTGTGTTTGTATGTTTGAAAGAATATTTTTAAAAGATGCCTAAGTTCGACAAATTTTGTAATGATTCTCGTATCGTTGAGAATGCATACAAAGTGTTTATCTTTGAAAATATTTTAGAAAATTGTGTATATCTGGGAAACTGATTTGTTTATGAGCAAACGAATATGAGCTATCTACCTACTCAAAAAGTTTTTATTCTTTTCCTCCTTTCCTTTAGATAGTGATATCCTACCATTAGTTAGTAGGTAGCCCTGTCATTGGATGTTTTGAGGGATAGGCGTGGGTCATCGTACAGTTACAAAGGCAACTCGTAGGACACTTTAGCAATTATCATAAGGTACCAAGATCGTTTACTGAGGCAGCATCGAAGGATCATCGAGGGACTACGGTCTTTTAACTAAAGGATCTTTGTTAAAGCGTCCCACATTCGAGGGATGTGACTGTTTAAATCCGAGGCAACAAGTGAGGGTCACCCTAGAGGTGCGCGCGTGTGAAGTGTTTTGATTTCAAGTATTTGTCTTTAGGTTTTCTAATGTTATTTTCACGTCTTGCCATGCACGCCTAATTAATCTAGTAGTTAAATATATACAAGTGAAAAAAATGCGGGAAATA